GGAACATGGTTTAGATAGACTAATCCCCTAATATATTTGGTTTGGAGTGTACTATTATATTCCATTTCTTAAGGTCTCATTTGCCAGGAATCCCTTGATATTCTGTAGTAATACCCTAAAATATCAATGAGAATCATGATCTTTATGCTTTCTGTCTTTGAATATGTAAGTGTTGTGCAGGAGACGTGACTCACCCATTCATCCATTGTAAAGCTAAGATCCAAAACCAACAGAACAAGTATACAACAATATTTTGATTTTGGACAATGAAGTTAATGAAATAGTAAACACAGCCATGAGAATTTTTCTTAACATTTATATAGTTTTATACTGCATATTTTCTTATTATTGGCAAGCTCAGTTTCATAAGCTGAAACACTGTGGTCATTGTCTGAAATGCCTTTGAATCAAATTGAATCTTAGATACAGTAGAAAACAATAAATCTCAATATGTCTCTAATATGATGGCGTGCTTTGAGGACTCATCTTTTCTTTCATATTCCATCATTTGTAATGCCAAATAATAAAATCATAGTGAGAAAATAAGTTGTATAAAATATTAACCCTCTACTTGATATTTTAAAACCATGCTACTTAAATGTGCTAATCCCTCATTTTTTAAAAATTCCTGAAACAGTGCCTACATATAGAATATTTACATTTATGTAGTTTTTATCATGTTTACATGACATAGATTTCATGATTCGTAAGAATAATTTCATGATTTCTAAATACTGACTTCGCATGGAGTCAGTCATTTTTATATCAGAGGTTTCCGGATTTATTCATAGAAGTGACTAATTTAGAGTCCACTCTTATGTATGTACCAAAGTGGTCACACTGAAGGGCTGTAAGCACAGATTTTATTTTAGATTACTCAATGTTTCTGTTACCTTCTATTTTTGCCCTGTGGCATTGGGTGACATTTCATAGAGACTGAACTGGCAGAGGGTTGGAAAATATGTAATTATAAGAATCACCTGCTATGGAATTTCCTATTATATACTAGCCATGATTCAAGATGTTGGATGAGAAGTTTTCTTCTTTCAAAACTTGTGATTAAAACGTGGCATTTTATATATAAATAGGAGACAGATTCTGCACAGACCAGCTGTGATTCAGACCTGGTGTAGCAATGCAAATCTTTGACCTGTATCATATAAGCAGCAATATACATAATTGGAAATATATTTTAAGATTAGGTGTGATAAATCTTTTTAATATTCCAAGCTTGAAACAGACCAAGTGCTAAAATGCAGGAAGATGAGTGGAGAGGTGGTTTTTTTCTTTTACTTAATGCTCCTCAAAGGAATTCCAACAAACAAATATATCTACTAATTATACTTGAAAAGTTTCCTCTCATTCTCTCTCTATATATGACATATATATGATGTATATATATGTATATACATAAAGAATCTGTTTAACCACAAGTGAACACATTTATCAGTTGCTGCAGCATAATTGTAAGTGCAGAGGATAGATTATGTTTCTTCATAATTGAAACTAAAACATAGCCATACAATAGTGTTTGGATAATAGATTTACCTGTTGCATTAACTTTTGTATATCTGGGTCAGTAAAGTTTCAATTGTCAATTAACTAACTGGAATTATGCAGCCAGTTCCCAATGCTAGATTTTTTTTCTGGTTACCACAGTAATACAAGCATTTTTTTTCTATGCATAGCTTAGCTTGTATATGAAAGTCTGTCTCTTACAATATTTTGTTTAAGTATTGTGTGTTATTCTGCTATAGTCTAAATGCGTACAAATGATATCATTCTACTGTCATGTATACTGTTATTTCACAGTGAGAAGATATATGAAAAGTATACATGCCGTGGTGGTCACTACCCATTCGCTTCTTGCAATGATGCATTAACTTTGGAGAGCTGTTAAGTTGATATGGGTTGTTTGAACTAGAGACTGGATGTTGTCTTCTCCAAATTTTGAAATGCTCTCTACAATGAAGAATGCGTTAAAATGATTCATATGAATGTATTAGTTCTAAAAAGCCATTGGATTTAAATGCAAAAGGAATGCATGCTCATAAGTGTATAGCTTTGAATGAGTGTTGGCCAGGGATACAGAAGCAGTAGATTTATACTCCATCACTATCTTTGTATTTACTCTGCTAGTTCACTGTTTACATTCATTGATGATGTTTTATGCCCCAAATTATTTTTATATTCCTAGAGTGTCTCCTGAATTCTCCTGTCGTAGTTTCACTCATTACAACAGCTTTGAAATCTTCCATACATACATGAGTAGGAAATCTTCATGAAGTCTGTCTTTTTTGAAGTGTTTAATTTCATAGAGCTCCTTCTTGGAACACAGGATCTGGCATGTGACAGACTTCATGAGCACTGGTTTGACTAGGAGTGGAGCAAATTAGCCTGTCTGTATTTACACCATCAAGTTGTGTAATCTAGACCCAGTCTGTTCATCTGCTCACTAGGTTCTCTTCCTCCTTTTCTGCACTCCCCTTTCTTCTCCTACTGCTTTAACTTTTAGTTTCCATCCCGTGTATAGCTTTCTCCTTCCCTGGGAGCACCATCCCTGGGAGCAGTTTCTGCCATTGCTTCTATGTGATTAACTGAATTCTTTGTCTCCAGATCGACTTCCTATTGAGCTTTTGAAGTTACAGTTGTCTTTTGGATTTTTATTACTTGTGCATCCTTTCAAATATTAGATAATTTATTCTTAGCAAAATCATGAGAGCTATTTAGATGCTTTAGAGCTGGAAGTGAGCCACCTTACCTGAATTCTGGAAATCAAACCTTCATCCTATATAAAAACTCCACGTGCTGTTAACCTGTAAGGCTTCTCCAGCCCAGTCACCTAGGGTAAAATCTCTGGCCCAGTCACCTAGAGCCATTTTTTCCAGTTGAGTCACTTTAGATTATTGTCTTTATCTGGTCACTCTTCATACTTAATGTTCTTTGTATCTCTTCCATACCTTACAAGTGTTCATGTTTTATTGCTGTTCCTGAAATGGACTGTCTTCAACTTGTCTCTTCCTATAATGTACTATCAGACTTTACTTCTTTTTTCAATTATTATTTATTTATTAAAAATTTCCACCTCTTCCCCGCCTCCCCTTTCCCTCCCCCTCCCTACCTTCCCCTCCCTCTCTAGTCTTAAGAGCAATCAGGAAGGGGAAGTCCAAGGTCCTGCCCCATCCATACAGGTCTTTAAAGGTGAACATTCAAACAAACCAGGCTCCCACAAAGTTAGTCCCTGCAATAGAATTAAATCCCAATGCCATTGTCCTTGGCTTCTCTAATAAAAAACGCTTTACTGAGTGAGGTAACCCAGACCCAAAAAGAGGAATATGAACCTTCATCTGGCGATGGATGGAGATAGAGACAGAGTCCCACATTGGAGCACTGGACTTAGCTCCCTATGTCCAAATGAGGAGCAGAAGGTGGGAGAACCTGAGCAAGGAAGTCAGGATCACAAAGGTGTGTCCACTCACTGAGATGGTGGGACTGATCTAATGGGAGCTCACCAAGGTCAGCTAAACTGGGAGCGATGGAGCATGTGATCAAAATGGACACTCTGAACGTGGCTGACAATGAAGGCAGACTTTACTTCTTAAACTACAACTTTCTCATGAGTCTCCTTTATGTTAACATTTCTTAAATGAATTTAGTTGTTTTAGACAGTTGTGTGTGTGTGTGTTTGTGTATCTGTATACTCATGTGTAGATCACTGGAGGTTAGAGGACAACTTGTAGGAGTTGGTTCTCTCCTTGTACTATAATTGGATGTTTCTCTTCCACTTGCCATTTCCAGAATAAATAGTCAAAGGTCTAATATTACTTATTAATGTTTTGTCTTTACATTATTGTTATCAGGCTTATTATTAGTTAGCTCCTACAAATAATATTTTTAAATCTATGCTTTGTCGTGTGGTTTGTGGCTTGTTACTACATTATTTTACATGTCTTGCTTCCTGGGTGGCTGGCTGGTATCTCCCAGACTCTGCCCTTTTCCTATATCTCTGTTTGGATTTACCATCTGGTTTTATCCTGCCTTGTCATAGTCGAAAATAGATTTATTTATCAACCAATGAGAGCAACACATATTCATGGTGTACAGAAAGATCACTCCCACAGCATTCTACCACATGGGTTTCAAGGATCCAACTCAGGCTATCAAGTTTATTGCCAAGTTCCTTTATCTACTGAGCCTTTTTGACTGATCTGTGTAAAACTCTAAGAGCTACTTACAACCTATGGAAGTAGGACACCTTGCGTTCTTTCTTGTTGCTTCCTTCCTTCTTTCTTTCCTTCCTCCTCCCTTCCTCCCCCATTTCTTTCTTTCAATAAAAGGCTATGGATAAAACTATGGAGTCTAAACAAGTAAAGGAAGGAGTCTGCTTCTGTTTAAGTGCAGTATTCAATTTCCTGTACTCAGCTTTATGTGAAAAATAGCTTCTGGTCACTTTATTATAACTTAGGGGTGTTATAGCATGCAAGTTGGGATACATTAAGTTATGGACAACAATATCTATTTAGTGTCATGTGCTTTCCACTCTATAATCTGTACTACATTGTTCCTTTTAAACTCTATCTTGGAGCTGTACTGTATTTATATACACACACATATGTATTTCCCAGAATGCTCTTACATCATGTGTCTTCTGTCTGCCTCTTCAAATCTTCATTCTTCTAAATGCAACTGTCACTGCTCCATTACTGAATGTGAATGAATATTTGGGAAATAAATGAATTAAGTATATTTTATATGCTGTGTCTCTTCAGGAATTACAGCTTTGTCTTCTTTTTGGAAATTGTTTTCATACTACATTTAACAACTGAACAAATAGAGATAATTATTTTATACTTATCATGGTTCAGAGTCCTCAATTCTTTAGAGAACTTGCATAAGAATGGTTGCTTCTAATTTTGTAGGTTATGAATACAAACCTAGGAGCTAATTGACTAAAGTCAGTAAGTATAAGCCTACTTTAAATTTATGTTCTTTTCTCTTAGGACCTGCAACATACAATCCTGTTTTATTGAAGTCTTCTGCCATAATCTCATTTTGTAAAGGATCAAAGCGTTTTGGACATTTTCGCCAAGAGTTTTCTCCTGGTCCAACGACATACGAGGTTTGTCAGCTCTTTCTCTTAGCTCTGACATGAATAGAATGTTTATATAAATTTCAGAACTTATGCACAGTAAGTTCTTCCTATGTGTTTACCGAGAGCACCCACTAATCAGAATTTTTTACTTGTGTAAGACATTTTTGAAGTTGCATTTTGACAACTTAAGAAAAACTATTGCAGAATTAAAACTTTAACATTGTATTAATTTTATATTGGTCCTCTATAGAATTAATACATAAAACATCCATACTTTCCTGTAAATTTAAAAACTTCTTAGATATTTTTTTCTTTTTAAGTATATTTATATACTTAATTTTAAAATATATATAATTTGGTTTCATGATGAATGAAGGTCTTCTAAGCTAAGGCCTTCTGAATGTATGACTTAAATCTGCATAGACGTTTGTGGCAATTGTGCTTGTGGTAGAGCTTTATAATTATTTTGAGTGTATTTTATGGGATTCTTTTTCAAGACAGGGGTTCTCTGTGAAACAATCCTGTAGACTGGACTGGTCTCGAACTCACAGAGATCCTCCTTCCTCTGCCTCCTGAGTGCTGGGATTAAAGGTGTGTGCCACCACCACCCGCTAATTTTATGGGATTTTTGAATGAGCACTTGTAAGCACCAGTGCTTACTTACCAATCTAAGTTTACCTGGTATGATTGAGGAGAAGTGAATCTTAGCCAGGCCATAACAGAGGGGTCTCAGCAAGACTGAGTCTGAGACAAGTTTATTGTAAGCACTGAGACTTTTTATACCCTTATCCGAAACAAAGTACAATGGTGATTGTCAGGATCAGTACAATGGTAGTTGCCAGGATACAATGATGTTTACAAGTTATACAAGGGTACACAAAGTTAATGTCTAAGAGCAATGGGTCCTGTCAAACTTTGCTGGCTTCTAAGGAACACAGAGGATCACAGGGTGACCTGAATAATTCACTGCTAAAAGGAATGATTTCTTGGGAACTGAAAGGCACTCAGAGACCTAGAAACCATGGACTTTAACATTAAAAAAACCTATAGACATGCCTCTCAAGACAGCTAGACCAGGCCAAGCCCCTGCCTCCCCGTAAGTGCTGGTGTTAGTTATTTTTGCATTTGGTATGGAATCTTCTTGTGCTGTACTTACAGTGGAATAAATGCCCTGGCTCCTGCAATCAACTTTGCATTCCTACTTCATGGCACGTGCCAAACGTGTTCCTTTGGGTGTCCTAAGGAAAGTGATGTTCTTGTCGCATATCATTTTGGCTTGTATCTATGTTCAATCACATAAATCTTTAAATGAAAAGTTTAATGTTACATTTTCATTCAAGGCTATTATTTGACAGGTAAGTTCTTTTTCTTGTAATTTTAAAGCCTTTTTCTGGATGCTTAACATGTGTGTCCTTTGCTTTTTTTCTTTCTCTGATCTTTTTCATTTGTTGTTAAACAGTGTACACAGGAAGTTCTGATTCCATTCTTTTATATCCCATGGTAACAGTGACTTTTGTGCTTTCTGTTTTTTAATGATGTTAATTATTGTCCTCTTTCTTCCCAATCTACGGCTCCTTTAAGTTGTGATGTGTGTGTGTGTGTGTGTGTGTGTTTGTCTGAGTGTGTGTGTGTAAAACTCCTTTTGTAGTGGTATGGTTCTTCTGGTCTTGATTTATTTCTCTCTTTCTGAATGGTAAGTTCACTGTTTCATTTCCTTCATTCCTAGAGTATATCATACTCTCTCCTTGTCTGGTGGAATTGCTTAGTTTCTTTAAAATTTCTTTTGTGTGACTTGATGCTTTTCTCTTTGCCTTGGATTTTAAGATTCTGAGTATAAAATACCTCCAGAATGACCTTTTGTCTGAATGTAATTAAGACCTTTTGTACTTTCTGGATGGAGATGTCTATATTTTTCTATGATTTGAATAAATTTCTGCTATTATTTAATTAAATAGTTTTCCAAAGCCCATTGCTGTCCTCTCCTTTTAGAACATTAGTAATGATAATATTTACTCAATGGTATCTCATAAGAATGTCTTCATTGTTTTCTTGTTTATTTATTTATTTTCTTATTTATTTATTCCTAGGGGTTATGTCTCAGGACCCAATCACTTACCAAATAGTTCACTTCCTAATTTTCTACCTGGGGATTTTCAGATTTCAAAATATGATTTGACACTGGGAAAAGATTTTTAATGATTAGAGGTGTGGAAATTAATTTTTTTAGAGAGCTTGAGAGTCTGTTTTCATTCCAAAGACTTACTTTCAAGAAGTAAGGAGACATTCAGTACATAATCTAGACCTCTACTTTTAGGAAACTGGTTCCATTTTTTTATTTAACATATGTATGTTAGTATACATTACATTATAAAAATAAGTTTCATTGCTTAAAGCTGAAAGCGGAAAAATTTAAAGCTACATGTATGGAATGGGCAGTCTGATTGAACTAAGAGAAAACTTACAATAAATCTTAAACTTAATTATCTGCAACAAGGATAAAAACTTTCACAAATATGGATGATATTTGTGATATTATTCATAAAGGTATTTGGTGTAAGAGTTGACTATTGGAAGCCCTAGGAGTTTCCATTGTTACTATTATTCGTGGCTTATGGCTATATCAGATTTTTTCTACCTTATAAGGTAATGACTCAGTTTGATCTAGGTGCTGAAAATCTGAAACAAAAATATGTTCTTTAAAGTCTATAGCAATCTGGTAAGGAGAATATATAAATACTTTAATTATAATAAGATATTTATGTAATTGAGAATAGATGAAGAGTTCAAGGTATATCGAGTAAGGAAGTTGGTCAAAAGGAATCAATAACTTTTGACAGTATTTTCTATGAAATATGAAAATGTTATGGGACTCTTCTTTTTAGAGAAGCCGAAAAGTATGATATAAAAAAAAATGAAACGACTGATGTTGGTGAGCTCCCTTTAGCTCAGGTAGACTGTCTTAGTGGGTTTCCCTATCATGGTCTGGACCTCTTTGTACATATTCTCATTCCTCCCACTCTTCAACTGGAATTTGGGAGCTCAGACCAGTGCTCTGATGCGGGTTTCTGCCTCATCCATCAGTAGCTGGATGAAGGTTCTATGGTGACATTTAAGATAGTCATCAGTCTGACTACAGGGTAAGGCCAGTTTATGTACCCTCTCCACTATTGCTTAGGGTCTTAGCTGGGATCAATCTTGTGGATTCCTAGGAATTTCTCTAGTGCCAGACTTCTTATTAGCCCCATAAAGGCTCCCTCAATCCAAGTATCTCTTTCCTTGCTCTCCATCTCCTTTCTTCTCCCATCTTGACTATTCCATTCCTTCAAGTTCTCCTACTCCTTCCCTTCTCTCCTCCTCCTCCCCTTCGTTTCTGGGGCTTGCAAGAAACCTGCCACTAGGGAAATTCCTAGGAATCCACAAGAATGACCCCAGCTGAAAATTATAGTAACATGAATCAAACTAAATCAATTTAAATTTTAAGTATTTAAAATATGACTAAATTTCCTGCTAAATTGCAAATAAAGAATAAATAAAATACACACACAGACCTGTATATATATATATATATAAAATTATATATATATAATTTTAATATTGGATAAAGGATAGTTCTAAGAATTTTTCCCCAAATATATGTATTAATCTGTGCAGAAATGGTTCATTAACATATTTATTTTAAAATCTGACAAACTTGCTATTAAATGTAAAATCTTTTTAAGGTTTGTAGGTGAGTATTGCACAACTGTGTCTTGCAGTTTTGCTTTTAGTGTAATTGTAAAAGTAAAATGCTGTGGATCCCTGAGTGGCAGACAGCGGGCAGCGGGTCCCAGGTAGGGATGACGCAGTTCCCCCAGTGGCTGCAGCCAGCCGCAAGTCCCAGACAGGGAACCGCGTGGTGGGTGAGAGACCTCAATGGGGCAGCCAGTCCCACGAGGAGAGACAGACAAATGGGCATGCCACAAGACCATGCCGCAGGTCTCCACAGGCGGCTGGTTACATTTAGGATTTGTACTTAAAGCATAAAATCCTCACCTGTTGCTTAACAAGGGTTCTTGTATGCTTCCTATCACTTGTCATTGTAAAAAGAATGTGTCTGTCTCTCCACGGACTCTGGCCTTCCTTTAGTTCTTCTTCATTTGTGCTGGTAGCATCTGGGTTAGACCAGACCTTCAACTTTCCAATTTTCTGAATTTTGGAAGATTACTTTCTGTGTTAGAAAATATAAGTCTGTCATTGTGGGAATTCTGGCCCAGTCCAGAGTGTGCTATGCTCTGTGTTGTGTTGAGAAGTTTCAGGTTAGTCATTTTAGTATACGGAGGCACAAAAATGTGAGCCTATTTCCACCCTGACCAAAGGTCAGAGAGGTGGAACTTAACTTCTATTTCTTCAAGGTTATTGTCTATTTCTACCTCAAACAAAGGTCCCACCTAGATTTAGACCAGAGAGTTCTCTCTCAAGATTATTGTCAACAGGTGTGACTAATATCCAGACCATGTATTTCGGGAACAGAGAAGCAGATATGTTTTTACCCTAAACAAAAGTCTAAGGATTCAACTATGTTCCTCCTCTCTTAAGTATATAATGATGGATTCCACCCAGGGAATGGTTTGCCCACAGAATGTTTTGGTCTTGAGTGTGAGCATTACTTGTCTTGTTCTAACAACAAAATGTTTAACTAAGAATGTAGCCTGTAACCTTCAATTGGTGTGTTCATTTCCTTGTATCATGTTAATGCAGTTTTTTTTATCTTACTCTTACCTTTTGGTGTTGGGGTATTTTAAGCAAATGGAAATTAAATGTGGGCAATTTCAGCATTCAGTGGATCTCCCTCCCAGTACCATCCTATGCTACTTGCTTTATCATTTTTACTTGCTTCTTCATATTCTTTACTAACTCTTCTAATCCCTATGCCCCTACCTTGGGAAGTGGTATTTTTGTTGAAGCTGATCTCTGACATTAGTAGCTCTAATATTTGAAGAGAGATCGATCAACTGGATCCTAATGACAAACTTTTTAATTTAGAATAT